TCATTTAATTGGGGTTGTTGTAGATGAAATTCATAGAAATGTTATAGATACACAAAGATTGATGCATGAAATCATTAATAATTAAAAATATTTTTTGACTTTAATAAAATGGTAAAAATGTCGCCTTTGTTACAAATTGTGATTAACTAACTCTTTAATTTTCTCGAAATAGAATAATTTTTCAGCAAAAAAAAATGTTACTTTAACAAGTAAATGAGTAAAATGAACTAAACGGTAAAAAGTAAAATTATACTAAAAGATTAAATGTCACAACCCATTAATCTGCGAATCAAAGACTTTTTATAAAATCAAATTAAAATAATTGAACTATTTTTATTAATAGGTAGATCAATTTAGAAAACTTTTACTTTCAAAAATCTATTTAATTTTAAATTTTATAAAGAAATCCGTGAAATTCACGTGAAATCCTTCCATATCCAATAAAATGCAATTATCCGAGTATTACAGTATTTAAAATGACACATCTATGTGTCAGTTTAAATGATAAATTGCACTTGTATCAGATCTTATTAAGTATATCTTATAAAATAATAAAATAAATTCAAAAAATTTCTTTAAAAGAAAGTTAAATGTTATCTTGGTATTCTCTTGCAATAGAAAGTATTTTTGAGTATCAAAAATATATAGTGTGTCAAGTGCTTATTTAAAAAGCTAAAATATAATAAATATGAAAAAAATTCTGACAAACATTTATAACAAAATTAGGTGTTATACATGAATTTCATATACAATATGCTATTATATCAGTGTATATATATTGTAATAGTAAATAAATAAATGAGCTTGTTGATCGTCAAATAAAACTTCAAAATTTTAATAATAAATTTAAAAGTCATCACCGTATTTTCACTTCCCGAACTAAATCTATATCGTAAAAATTTCAATTCGTTATATTGATTTACAATAGAAATTCAATAGAAAAAAAAATAGAACAAGAAGAAAAAAACAAACACAAAAACAAATAAATCATATTTAAACTCAATTTCTATTTTTATTTAAAAAATTTAAAATTTATTAAATAGAATTTTCTCTTTCATTTTCTCAAAAGAAAAAAATAAAGATTTTTATAAAAATTTCATTTTCAAAAAAATTTATTTTGCTTCTATATTTTATTATATTGCAAAAGTACCGTTATAGCATCTGTTTTTCCATATATGTTTGCAATAAAACTTTTCATTTCTATAGTGCGAGACAATGTCAAAACTTTCGATTTGCAACCTCATTTTGGGTATTTAAAATTTTTGTTTGTTATAAGAAGACAAAGTGAAAGATATTGTCAATTCACAATATTTTAAAAACAATAATTGAGATCAAAATTTTGTGATTGCAGTCATCAAATCTCATTAATAATATTTTTTGTTTTTCATCAAAAAATCTTTAATAACAGTAAATTTCAATTTTATACTTTGATAGTTTCTACAATTTCTACAATTTTTCACATTAATTGTATAGGTCATAAATGAATAAAGGCATTTTTGAAATTTTAAAATTGCTTTTGAAATGAAAATTCGAGTCAGCGTATAAAAAACTTAGAATCATCGTTAAATTTCTTAAAGTGTAAGAAATTGAAAATTTTACGCCTTGTTAAAAATAATGCGAGTAAATAATTGGAAATGTAAAAAATTGGAGAAAAAAAGAAACAAAAACAAAATTAAAAAAATTTCAAAGTTAAAATTAAAAATTTATTGTAACTTTTGCGAAGAAGAATTCACAGGAAAAATGAAAAAGAATTCACAAAATATAAGAAAAACCAAATTAGAATAGCCAAAGAAAAGGAAAAAGGTTATAAAGAAAGCAGTTATACAATTTTTGTTTTTTAATTACCTACTATTTTTGCCCCTCGTATACCAGTTATTAGTATTAATTTTTTAAATTTTTCTTCTTCTTTTTTTTTTCCTTTACTTCTTATTATAAAAGTTTAATGGTTAATTATGTGATACTTTATAGGATTACCGATTTATTATATTGTGGACAAGCCAGTACTGTGTTTAATAAGATGTAATGATTGTGAATTTGATTTGCAAATAAAAGCAGAGAAAAAAAAAATAATCGTGTAAAAATTGGAATTTCACGCGAAAAAATATTTCAAATTTTTTTTTTAATTTTATTTTAATTCTTCTTTTTAGACCAATTTACTTAATAAGTATAGTAAAATTTCACACAAACAAATATACACATTTTGTTATTGATACTTGTAGTTTGAACGTAAACAAAATAAAATAAAAAAATTGTGAATGATTTTTGTTTTTTTATTATACCTACTGTAGTAAATTGAGGGAATTAAATATAAAACAAATTCTTTTAATTTGATAATCATTCATAATTATAATACTATGCATATATAATACGTATTTATATGTATATAACTATAATAAAAAATAAGAAGAAAAAATTTTAATTTTTGCAGAATTTTTTAATGGCCAGTTTAAATTTATAATATAAAGTTCATTGACTTTCATTAATTATTAACACTATTGTGAACTTAATAAAAAAAAATTATTATTAAGATGTTAAGCAAAACAAAATTAAAAAATAAAAAAAAAATTAGTTTACAGTTACAAGTATATAAGGTCAAATTTTTTTATATATTATAATTTGTATACGTATTTGTATCTGTAATTTGTTAATTTTATTAATTTTTATTTTTGTATTTTTCTTGTTGATAACAAGGAAGAAGATAACTAAGACCTTATGCAATATACGTACAGTTGAATAGCTGGTTTGAAAGGCAAATTTATTAATTATATTCAATATTACGAATAAATTATAAGGGTATTTGAATGGAATTATCAGATTCTGACGAACTTTCAACGGACTTTCAAATAACATATTAGATCGACTTTTAGCATGAACGGTCGGAACTTTTAGTAGGATTGATCTTGGATTTGTTATAATTTAAGAAATGAAACAATATAAGTTTGAATATAAGAATAATTAAAAATTGAAATAAAAAAATTCATTCGAAATTACGATGAAATGAAGAATTTTTAACTTCAATCATAAAATACAATTAATAGCCGGACGTTTAGTCTGCAGTTTCTTTGCATTTTGGATTAAACCTACAGTTCTACAGTTTGGATTTGTTTTGGATTAAAAGGTATTAGGTGCATATAACCTAAGCAATAGAAAACATTTTCTTTGAAAAACTTTGAGTTCTAGATCAGAATTCGGAACTTGAACTTGCAACAAAAAAATTTCTTTAGCTCTTCGGATAGAAAGCCATATTTTTTTTTGTAATCATTTTTTTCTTATTTCTGCTTCATGGCTCCATTTTAGATAAATTTTAAGTATTTAATAAGATTTTTCTTACAACTGCTCTAAAGATTGTGCATGACATTTTGGGCAATACATAGCTTCCAATACTGTTTTCAATAAATTTTGCAAAAAGGCAATTGTACTTAATTTTGTTAAATTGATTTTTTTTTTAAATAAATTCTCATATATGTGGGTATATATGGAGTTAGAATAATTTAAAATTCTTTGTGGTATTAAAATGACAAATTTCTTGTATTTCTTAAAAATTTTTTTTCTCTCTCTTTATGAACTTTTATATAAATCCTTTATCAAAATAAAAACTCTATCAATTTAAACTTTTTAAAATTTTTATAATATTCATTGGTCTCAATGGAATATAAAGTATACAACTTGCACATACATATACATATATATATTGGGTATTTTATAGAATTTTTACATATGAATGTACGAATCTAAAAGAAATATTATTATTATGAAAAACTTTAATCTCTCTTTGATATATCAAAAATAAAAAAAATAATATTTTGGGATTATTCATATAGAATATAAAATTAAATTTATTATTTTAATATATTGCAGAATATTATTATCACATATTTCTGTGGTTTTGAGGAAAATTATTGCTGAGTCAGTAAAAGGAACATGTTTTAAATAAATCAAATTTAAAGTTTATCCGAAAAATCATTGAACTAAGTACGCATTCATTAAAAAATTTTTAAAATTTCAGATGATGAACTTTAAGAGTAAGTGTCGCTACATAAATTTATTTAACATCTTATATACAAAAGAGCTACAAATTAGACCTATATGAATTTTATTGAAAAATACATAGAAATATATCAAATTCTCAGAAATGCAAAAACGTTTTCGAACCTAGACGATTCGATTGCACTTATCCGGTTTAAATTGCCTATTTTAAGCTATGCTTTTTGTACAATTTCATATTATTCTTTGATTTGCCCTTTAATTTGTTTCTGGTCTATATAAAAATTTTATTCATCTTTTTATTATTTCTTTAAGTATGTATAAAACGTAATTAATTTTTTTATATTTTTGTTATTACAAAACTTTCTTATACATATATGGTTGTACTTAAAAATATTAGAACTTTTAAGGTTCGGTTCTTTTGAAAATATAATATTGATAGAAAATTATTTATTAAAAGTGCCTAATAAAGATATCTTTCGCATTTTATTCTTTATTCTGGTTCTTTTAATTTTTTTGTGTTTTTGTTAAGTACTGTCCTGTCATTGGTAATAAAAACGAATTACTCAACATAAAAGAAATCTTAATTTATGTTTATTTCTTTATGGAAAAAAAAATTAAAATAATGCATAGTTTTGTATGTGTTTATGTACGCATGTTTGTATATATAATATTTTTACCATAAATCTAAAATTTCACCCCACTCCTCCTACATTAATGGGACATTAAATCTCTAATTTCACATTTTATAAAATTTATTCTTTTCTTTCCTTTTTTCTTTTTTTTTCCTTATGCTTTGTTCTCTTTTCATTTTTCTTTATCTTCTTTGAAATCCTTAGAAATATTTTGCTTTTACATATAGTAAATAAAAGTACAAAATTCACACGCAATTTTCTCTATCTATATACTATATATTATAATAATATTTAGACATACATATATGTGCATATAAAATAAATTGCATATACATATTGTATTGGAGAATCAAACCACATTAAGGTGATATGTTTACATACCTGAGAATTGCGATATATCTGTAGATTCTTGTATAGGCGCTAGAATTAAAGAAAAATAAGAAAAAAAAAATTAGTAATAAAATCTTATTATTTCGAGTTTTTTTTATATAATGTTTTTTTGATTGCAATAAAATCTACTTTTATTTATAAAACAAATTACTCTTGAATAACATATGAGTACAAATGCATAGAGATGAATAAATGTGTTTGAGTATATATAAATATAAGAGAGTGTAATAAAATCAAAGGGAAAATACAAGTGGTGTTGAGTGTAATGCTGAACAACTAAAAGCAAATCTATACCTCTATATCATACTCAATTTTTATCCTTTATAAATTTCTTGCATAAAAAATAACGTGAATTTTACCATATTTAATAAATTTTATTAAAGTTTTGTTTTTAAAATTTTTTATTTTAAATTTTATTGATTTGTCTGTCCCTATATGAAGAGATTTTTATTGATTTAACACTCATTTCACTAAAGATGCTATAGGGATGAGCAATGCTTTCAAAATTGAAGTTGTTTCTTGTTATAGGAATGAACAGAATGTTTGTATTTAAAATAATTTTAAGGGTTCGCCACTAATTACGGATTAAATAATGAAGCATTTCTGGTAACAACTTTTTGAACTCGATTCATTAGAATGAAGGGATTGTGAATTGTAGTGAGTTTGCTTGGAAAAGGTGAAGATAATACAGTAATTTTTTACCGATTTCTCCATCTCGGGTTGCAATAACAATTTTTATATTTTAAATATTTTTCATATGAAAGAAATAAAATTTTCTCAACAATTTTCTTTTTGTTTTAAGCATAATTATAAAGTTTGAAAATTTAAGTGATTATAAAAGGAATATTATTAAGAAAAACTTAAAACTTATATATCAGAATTTTTTTTGTAATTGTAATTCATCCTCATATCAAATAATCACCCAAGTCTGTATGCATATGCCTGAGAACGTTGTACAATACAAACGACCAGGGTATAACTTGGAGCTAAATTTGCTTATATAGGTCATTATAAGTAGATTTTTGTAAAAGAAAAGCCCTTAAAGAATTGTTGTTTTAAAATATAAAAGTTTTTGTTATGTTATTTACATGTACGCATTAATTGTGATATACTCGTATAACTTTCGGCTTCATATAATGTTGACTTAATATTATAATCTTGTTGATGGAAATTTGAAAAATTTTATTTATTTTGCAAATTAAATTTTATTTAATTAATTTGAACGAACTAAAATTTTCATCATTACTTGTGTGTTTTTCATTTCAATTATCAAAAATTTTGAAATATAAGTTTTCTACATATTAAATTTTAAAATGCACAAATACATAGTATTTTTTATTGTGGCACGTCGAATAATTATTACATGCTAACAAAATAATAAACCACAAAATAAACTACTTTAAATTTTGAATTAATTATAATAATATTAATAACATAGTGTGACTTGAGCATAAATAATGAATTGAATTGCCTGTCGCATTGTAGAGGCAACAATAGAAATTTCATACTCGAAATTCTTACTTTTTTTATTGAGAGTAATTTTATTGTCATCTTAGCATTTTGCTACAATTTGTCTCTCTTCAATTCAATAATAATACTACATTATACTATTGTAAATGTTAAATTAACTGCATTCAATACAAGTATATATAATTGAGTTTACGAGTAATTCAATGTCTTACCAATATAATGCGGTAGTAGTGCATAATAATAATTTTTGTTATTGTAACTGGACAAAATTTAATTTATTATGTATTATTATTTTAAAAAGTTAACATATGAGACGATATGGAATTCATAAAAAAAAATTTGAGACAAAAAATTCTAAAAATTTTAATGCGGACATTTAAAAAACAGAACAAGAAAAAATTTATTGCTATAATTTTTTTTTTATTGAAAAGAAGAAAAAAATTTCATCATTGTTGGTGGCTTCAACCAATACAAATTGTTAACTTCTTTTATTTTATGTCAATTTATTGGTAAATTTACAAGAAAATAAAAAAAGAAAATAATAAAAACAAAAAAATTTTTTTTGTTTTATTTTCATTTTTTTATGCTCATATTCCAATTCTATTCCAACATTAAACCTTCTTACTATTATGATATTTTTTCCACTTCTAGAACACAACATGTAATATTTATAATAAAAATAAATATAGCATAACAGCAACATATTAAAGCATAACAACGAATAATAGTAGCTTATATGCAGTGTGCGTGCTCATATTATTATTATGTGAATTAGAATTTTTGCTATTCTTCTATACTTGTATAAGAAGATTTTCATTCGTATTATGGATAAGAGAGGAAAAAAGCAAAAATAAAATAAAATAGAATAAAAAAAAGAAAGAATAGGTGCAAAAAATTAATATTTTTTTTTTATTTTCTCAACAATTTAACATGAAAAAAAAAAACCTTTCCTTTTAAAATATTTTTTTTTTCTATATAAATTCTATACTATGTAGTATGCTAGAAAAATCAGAAAATAGCAAAAACAATAATAACAAAATCAACTTGTTAGCTATAAAAAATTCGCATGAACTTTATTATCCAGGAAAAAAAACATAATGTATGTAAGTATGAAGCAAAAGTCAGTAAGTATTTACTTTGTATAAAAATATTCTTGTGGCATGGCATAATATTACTGACTTCGTATTTGTAAAATCATATTATGAGTATTAGAGAGAATTTAAGTATAAAAATTTTATATGCATCGGTATGTTTACATGTTCTATATAATTGTGTGTGTATATAAATAATGCATATATGTATATAATTATACATATGATATGAAAATATAAATTTTTTTTTTTGAATTATTATTTAATATTATGTAAGTGAAGGCAGTAAAGTGTAAAAGTTGGTTTTTAAGATGAAGTGTTCCATGCTTATATAACAACCTTTTTGAAGTTATAAAATAAATTTTTTTGTTATTTTATTTTCATATTTTAGTATTATATCATATATGTACAATTTGTTATTGTTATTATGTGCATTCACATAAACATACGCATATACAAATTATTATACATATTTTATATGTAAATTTTGAAAATTTATGGAAAAATCATGCTTTTCTAATAATAATAATGATAATATGATTATAAAATATAAATATAAAATGTATGTATGTACCTATAGCAAAACAGAAAAGCAAAAAAAAAAAAATAATAATAACAATAAAAGTAAAAGGAAAATAAAAAAAATCTGTGCATATACAAACAAAAAAATGTAATAATAAATTAAATGGTTAAGAAAAAGAAACTTGCATATCACTATTATGATAGTTTAAGAATACAGGTGAAAAATTATTTATTCATGTTATACATATATTTAATATGTATTTAATATATTATAATATTGTAATGTTATACTGAATTATTATGAATTTATAAATAGGCGCATTTATTTTGTACACACACACGTTCTTTTCTTCATTTCATTTTATTTTATTTCTCATAATTTTTGACTTCTTTACTTTATCTATTTTTCTCTTTCTTTCATATGCGTTTCTTTAAATATTTATAAATAAAAAGATTTTATAGTTCGATAATTACATATTAAATTAATCATCATCATCATTAGCATTATTATCATCATCATCATTGCAAATTTATTGTTATTTTATTAGAATATTTTTTTCTCTTTTTTTTTTTATATAATTTTATTTACATTATATAATTTGTATAAAACGTGTATATGTATAGAGTGTCTAGTAAAAAATTTAGATTTTTGATGTGAACTAATTAAGTGCGTTAGTCCGTAAATGTTAATTATAGCGTGGGTGAATAAATGGTATTCAAAATATGCTTAACATGAGAATTATCGAAAAAGAAAACAAGAAAAAAGCTTAATGAGAAATTCATTTGATTTGCTAATGCTTGTTGCTAATTGTATTATTTAATAATAGGGAAAGTATTTTGTAAGTGCTTTAATTGGACCTGTCATAAATATCTACGGAAATTAGAAATTTACATATTCGTGTGTTGAAAATTAATGCAACGAAGAGTATGTAATTTTTAAAGAGATGATAATTTGTATTTTGGTTATAGTGATGACCTGAGCGAGTAGAAATATGCATAAGCATATTTTAGCTATATAGATAAGCTAGTATTTTATTTCGATTTCAATGTCAAAGGCAATATAAATACTCTTTATTTATTTAATTCAAAATTATAACATCCACAAATTAAGTTTCGTAATTTATTAGCCGACATCTTTTTAGTAATGAATATTCATGCCAATGAAAATATCTACAATCCCGCTGCCGTAAACATTAGGAGAGTATTTATTGCTGGTATTATGCAATGGCATAATATGAATTTCTTGTGTGAAGCTACTTGTCTTTTTAGTGTTTTGGATTACCGCTATAATTTGGAATAGCTGAAATTGATTTAGGTTCTTTTGGAAAAGTTGTGAATTTTTGAATATTATACCGAAGTAAAATTATAGAATTCAAATATATTATTGGTATATGGCTGAGTAGACTAAATATACAACTTATTTAATCTAGATATACAACTTATATTTCATTTATTTTTTATTTAGATTTGCATTTAGTAATTTTTTCAAAATACAAATTTAAAAATATTTTCGATTTATTTCAAATAATTCAGATTCTATGCTAATTGAACTTTCTATAAAATTTTCATTTTCATCAAAATTTCGCAAATGGAAAATTCATGTTTCGCTCCTTGAATTGTATACATATACGTATATATATAAATTCAATATTTATTTAGTGTAATTTAAAAGGCATATTATAGCTATATTTAATATTAAATGGAAATAAAAGTAAAAATTTAATTAAAAAATAAAAAATTTTCATTTCAATTTTCTTTAAAGTTCAAATTAAATTCAAGTACCTATAAATTTATTTTTTATTTTAACAACTTTAAATTCATCATATTATGTATATAAGGATTCATCATAAGGATATAAATAATTAATGTTGTTTAAATTTGAATTTTGACGTTGTTTCAGAGTTTTTTTTTTTGCATATATGCATTATGTAGAAATGTTTGTTCAAA